TCTCTTTGATTTAAGTAACATCACCCTATTTGTATCATAGGAGCAATTTAGTGGGCTCCCTTCTGTTCCTATTTTTAAAAATAGTTTGTATACAATTAGAACTAATTTTTCTTTTAATTTTTCATGGAATTCAACCCATGACTGCCAAAGACAACTTAGAAGGTCAGTAGGAAAAGTCTGTGTCAACAGTGAGAGAGAAGAGGGTGGTCCCAGCTCCAGTCCCTGAGCGTGGCCCCAGGGTGGTGGCTATCTCCTGAGCTTCTGGCCCACAGACTGAGGGGTAATCGAGTGGCTGATCAGAGGGGGATTGCAGTGATCTTTTTGCTGGTGTTGAGGCAGGATTCTCTTGTTTTGCCTGTGCTTGGATCTGGGTCACAGTTCTGTGTGATGGTCCTAGGGTGAGGAGAAGCACTGGCGTGGTGGAGCTTGTAGTGGCTGTGGAGAGAGAATCCTCCTCACAATTCTAAGACAGAAAAGACTGCTTGTGGTCACTCATAGACCAGAGCACAGGACAGGAAAGGAGTAAAAACCTCACCCTTGATCATACCACCTTAGGAAAACTGAAAATTTTCAGGTCCCTAGAAGTATCTCTGAAAACAGCTGCACAAAACCCCCAAAGCTTAGGACAGTACATTCTCCACACAGGAAACAGATCGCTACCTTAACAAAGAGTTTATATTTCAAGTAATTGGATGGGATCATGAGCAAGCAGCTCAAAAAGAGTCAGACCACAGAATCTTACTTTGGTAATTAAGAAGACCAAAACATACAACTAGAAGAAGACAACAAAGTCAAAGCTCCTACATCCTAAGTCTCTAAGAAAAATATGAATTGGTCCCAGGCAATGGAAGAGCTCAAAAAGAATCTTGAGAAGCAAGTAAGAGAAGTAGAGGAAAAAGTTAGAGTGATGCAAGAAAATAATGAAAAAACAAGTCAACAGCTTGCTAAAGGAGACCCCAAAAAATACTGAAGAAAATAACACCATAAAAAATAGCCTAACTCAAATGACAAAAGAGGTCCAAAAAGCCAATGAGGAGAAGAATGTCCTAAAAAGCAAAATTGGCCAAATGGAAAAGGAAGTCCAAAAACTTACTGAAGAAAAACTTCCTTAAAAATTAGAATGGAGCAATTGGAAGCTAATGACTTTATCAGAAATCAAGACACTGTAAAACAAATCCAAAAGAATGAAAAAATAGAAGAGAATGTGAAATATCTCACTGGAAAAACAACTGACTTGGAAAATAGATCCAGGAGAGATAATTTAACAATTATTGGACTATCTAAAAACCATGATCAAAAAAAGAGCCTAGACATCATCTTTCAAGAAATTATCAAGGAAAATTGTCCTGATATTTTAGAACCAGAGGGCAAAATAGAAATGGAAAGAATCCACCAATCACCTCCTGAAAGAGATCCCCAAAGGAAAACTCCTAGCAATATTGTAGCCAAATTCCAGAGTTCCTAGGTCAAGGAGAAAATATTGCAAGCAGTCAGAAAGAAATAATCCAAGTATTGTGGAAACACAATCAGGATAACACAAGATTTAGCAGCTTTTACATTAATGGACCACAGGGCTTGGAATGTGATATTCCAGAGGGCAAAGCAGATAGGATTAAAACAAAGAATCACCTACCCAGCGAAACTGAGCATAATCCTTCAGGGGGAACAATGGACATTCAATGAAATAGAGGACTTTCAAGCATTCTTGATGAAAAGACCAGAGCTGAATAGCAAATTTGACTTTCAGATACAAGACTCAAGAGAAATATGAAGAGGTAAACAGGAAAGAGAAATCATAAGAGACTTATTAAGGTTGAACTGTTTACATTCTGCATGGAAATGTGATATTTGTAACTGATGAGTCTTTTGCCAGTATTAGAGTAGTTGGAGGGAAAAAATTGTATGTATGTATATATATATATATATAAATACATATATATAGATATATATAGATAGATAGATAGATAGATAGATAGATAGATAGATAGATAGATA